TTTTCTTTTTTAAGAATTATTTTATTTATCTTTATTTATTTATTTTAATTTAACCAGAGAAAGACAGAGTAAGAGAGAGGGAGGGAAAGTGAGAAAGCAAGCCGCCAGATCCGGGACTCAAACTGAGGTCATCCACCACCACACCACCTGCCTTCCCCATTTTTCTATTTTTTTTTAAAGACTTATTCTATTTCATTCATTCATTCATTCATTATTTTAATCTTACCAGAGAGGGACAGAGTGAGGGTAGGTGAGGAAGTGAGAAAGCAAGCCACCAGGTCTGGGACTCGAACCACAGTTGGCTCTGTTAGAGTCCAGTGCCCTTAACCACTGCTGGCCCCCGGACACTGTAGCCTTCTCAGGACACAGACAGGTGCCCACCAAGCCCAAGTCATGCCCTTCTTCTTCTTTTGTGAAGAATTGTTTAGGTGGGGCCTGCAATCCCTTCTCCTCCATTCTCCTCTTTGGATCTTAGTCACACGCACACGCGCCTGGTGTGAGTTTAAGCCACCCGGTCCGGGATTTGAACCTTCATTGACTACATGGGAGTCTAGCCACGTAACTGCTGTGCCACCGCAAAGCCCCCAGGTTGTGCCCTTCTAACTGGCCTCTCTGTGCTGTCTTGTTCCTGGCCCAGACTCAGCCCGTGGTAGAGAGCCTCGGGTTCCAGGGGGGCCGTCTGCAGCGAGTGGAGGTGACCTGGCGGGGATCCCACCCTGAGGCCTTGGAGGTGCATGTGGGTAAGATCCGACCCAGATCAGTGTTCCTTCCATGGGTGGTCCCAGTGCCACAAGGAGGTCCACTTGGCAAGTGGACCTTCCAGGACCAGCCCGGTCCTCAAAGGTCCAACTGTCAACTCATGGTTGTCTTCTAGAGTTTGGGGTCCACCTCCTAGGGACCCCTGGTCCAGCTTCCAGTGCCCTGTGGTTCCTCTTCCAGGGCCCCATGGTCCATCCCTCAATTGTCCTGTGGCCTATCTCCCAGGGTCCCATGACCCATCTCCCAGGGCCCATCTCTCTCCCATGGCTCATCTCCCAGGGTTCTCGGTCCTCCTCCCAGGGTTCCATGGTCCAGTTCTCAAAGTTCTTCATCCCTCTGCAGGGTTCCTTTTTTTTTTTTTTTTTTTGGAGAGGTTTTTGCTATAGGGCGCGTGCGCTCGCCAGACAGACAGAGACAGAGAGACAGAAAGTGAGAAATCATCCCCCAGGGGGGATGACCACACCGCAATCCCTTCTCCTCCATTCTCCTCTCAGGATCTTGGGCACGCACACACACACGTGCCCAGCGTGAGTTTAAGCCACTGGGTCCGGGACTCGAACCACAGTTGACTACATGGGAGTCCAGCGACATAGCCATTACGCTAACTGCTGGTCCCAGCATCCAGGGTTCTTGAGCTATCTCTGAGTTCTAGGCTCATTGTCCAAGGTTCCTCATTTCATCTCCTTGAGTTCTAGGCTCACCTTCTAGGGTCTCCTACCCCATGTCCCAGGGTTTAAGGTTCACTTTCCAGAGTTTCTTGTGCCACCTTAGTTCTAGGGTAACCGAAGGTCATCTTCCAGGGTTCTTGCTTCATCTCCCATCGTTCTAGGTTCATCTTCCAGGGTTCCGAGCTCTATCTCCCATGGTTTTAGGGAAAGCTAGGGTCATCTTCCAGGGTTCTTGTTCCATCTTCCCTAGTTCTTCGTCCACCTTCTGGGGCTCCTTGCTCCACCTCCCAAGGTTCTATGATCATCTCATAGGGTTCCTTGTTCCACCCTCTAAGGTCCTAGGTTTATCACCAAGAGTTCCTTGCTCCATTTCCCAGGGTTCTAGGATCATCTTTCAGGGCTCCTTGACCTCATCTCCTGGGGTTCTAGGTTCATCATTCAGGATTCTTCATCTCTCTGGGTCCTAGATCAACCTTCCAGTCCACCTCCCAGGGTTCTAGGACTGTCTTCCATGGTTCCTTTCTCTATTTCCTGTGGTTCTAGCTCTAGGTTTATCTCCCAGAGTTCCTTATTCCTTTTCTGAGAGTTCTAGGCTCAGCCCCCCCCCCGAGTTCTAGGCTCTCGCCCCAGGCTCCTTGCTCCATCTCCTGGGGTTCTAGGTCACCATTCAGGATTCCTTATTTTATATCCCAGGACTCTATTTTGGATTCCTTACTTCTCCTCCCTTGGTTTTAGGTTCACCTTTCCAGGGCTCCTTGCTTGGCTTCCCAGGGTTCTAGGATCATCTTCCAGGGTTCCTTTCTGTACCTCCCATGGTTCTAGCTCTAGGTTCATCTCCCAGAGTTCCTTGCTCCTTTTCTCAGGGTTCTAGATTCACCACCCAGTCTTATTTGCCTTGATTCCCATGGTTCTTTGCTTCATCTTCCAGGGTTCTAGGTTCACTCTCCAGGGCTCCATCTCCAGGGTTCTAGGTTCACCATTCTGGATTCCTTCCTTCATCCCCCAGGATTTTATTCAGGATTTCTTACTTCATTTCCCAGATCTTAGGTCTACCTCCCAGGGTTCTCCACCTCCCAAGGTTCTAGGATGATCTTCCAGGATTCCTTCTCCATGTCTCAAGGTTCTAGTTCTAGGTCTAGGTTTATCTCCCAGAGTTCCTTATTCCTTTTCTGAGAGTTCTAGGCTCAGCCCCCCCCCGAGTTCTAGGCTCTCGCCCCAGGCTTCCTTGCTCCATCTCCTGGGGTTCTAGGTCACCATTCAGGATTCCTTATTTTATATCCCAGGACTCTATTTTGGATTCCTTACTTCTCCTCCCTTGGTTTTAGGTTCACCTTTCCAGGGCTCCTTGCTTGGCTTCCCAGGGTTCTAGGATCATCTTCCAGGGTTCCTTTCTGTACCTCCCATGGTTCTAGCTCTAGGTTCATCTCCCAGAGTTCCTTGCTCCTTTTCTCAGGGTTCTAGATTCACCACCCAGTCTTATTTGCCTTGATTCCCATGGTTCTTTGCTTCATCTTCCAGGGTTCTAGGTTCACTCTCCAGGGCTCCATCTCCAGGGTTCTAGGTTCACCATTCTGGATTCCTTCCTTCATCCCCCAGGATTTTATTCAGGATTTCTTACTTCATTTCCCAGATCTTAGGTCTACCTCCCAGGGTTCTCCACCTCCCAAGGTTCTAGGATGATCTTCCAGGATTCCTTCTCCATGTCTCAAGGTTCTAGTTCTAGGTTTATCTCCCAGAGTTCCTTGCTCATTTTCTCAGAGTGCTAGGTCCATCTCCCAAAGACTCTAGATTTGGCTCTCTCCTTGCCCCATCTCCCAGGGTTCTAGGTTCACCATTTGGGATTCTTTTTTCACTTTGACACCCAGGTTCTTGCTCCATGTCCCAGGGTTCTAGGTCCACCTTCCAGGGCTCCTTGCGCTATCCCTCATGTTTCTGGGCTCACCATTCAGGATATTTTTCTCTTTGACACCCAGGGTTCTAGATCTGCCTTCCAGGGCTCCTTGCCCCATCTCCCAGGGTTCTAGGTTCACCATTCAGGATCTCTTACTCCATCTCCCAGGGTTCTAATTCCCATCCCAGGCCCCCACACCCTATTGCCCTAGATTCTGGACTCTCCACTCCTCTCCTCCCTATGACACTATGGCCCCTGGGAGGCCCCTGAGTGGTAGTCTGTATCCCAGACCCCGTAGGCCCCTTGGACAAGGTGCGGAAGGCCAAGATCCGAGTCAAGACCAGCAGCAAAGCCAAAGTGGAGTCCGAAGAGCCCCAGGACAACGACTTCCTCAGTTGCATGTCCCGGTAGGTAGCAGGAGCCTAGGGGGTGGCGTGGGAGTGAGGCCGGAGGGCCCGGGCTCCCGTATCCCAGCTCCTGTGGCTGAGTAATGCCTGGTGGCCTGGCAGGCGCTCGGGGCTGCCCCGCTGGATCCTGGCCTGCTGTCTCTTCCTGTCCGTGCTGGTGATGCTATGGCTCAGCTGTTCCACCCTGGTGACCGCGCCTGGCCAGCACCTCAAGTTCCAGGTGGGTGTGGCCAGTGCCTGGCTGGGGGCGTGGCCGGGGGCGGGGGCTTGGCTCTGGCGCCTTGACTATGGCCACGCCCCCACCTGACCAGCACTTAAGTTCTAAGTGGGTGTGGTCGCTGGGCGGTGCCTGGGCTGGGGGCGTGGCAGGGGGGGGGGTGGGGCCTTGAAACTGGCCACGCCCCCGGACCCTGACTTACTACCTGGTGCAACGTTTTTTTTTCTCCTTGTGAATTGGGGGAAAGAACGCCTACCCCAAGTTGGGAGGATACAGGGTCGGGTTGGGAAGGAGCCTCCTTCATCCCTCCCTCTCTGCAGCCCCTGACCCTGGAGCAGCACAAGGGCTTCGTGGTAGACCCGGACTGGCCCCTGTACCCTCCCCCGGCGCACGCCTGTGAAGACAGCCCCCCGCCCTACAAGCTGAAGCTGGATCTGACCAAGCTGTAAGAGACTCGGGGCTCCGTGTCTCCCCAGCATTGCCAAGTGCAAGGGCCCCTCGGGGCTCACTTGCTCCGAGCCCAGGAGGATCCAAGCTGAAGGTGGAATCATTTCTGAGCTCTTCTGCAACCACCTGGCTCCCTCCAGACCTGCCCGTCACCCCCCCTGAGTCCTGGGGCCAGGGTGCCCTGATTGGGCAGGTGGGATCTGGCCTTGATTCCTCCCTGTCCCCCGTTTTTCTGGGACGCGCTTCTGTGTGTTTTCTCGTGTGTGGCTTTCTGAGTATTCGTGTCGCCGTCTCTCTTTCTCTCTCCCTTTTCCGGGGGCTGAGGCCTCGGCGGGGACAGCCTTCTTCTTTATCACTCGCATCCCCACCTCCGGAGGCTGCGGGGGGGCCCCACGAGGGAGGGTGCAGGGACAGCTCCATGCTGGGAGGGAGGGAAGGTTGCTGGGCGGATGACCTGGCATGAGGGCTGGGAGGAATAAACCGTGTATATGAGACACCTCGGCTGAGCCTGCTTCTGTCTGTCCGTCTGTCTGCCCGCCCTTGGAGGAAGGGCCTGATCCCTTTCCAAGTCACCCCCACTTTTTTTTGTTGTTGTTTTTCTTTCATTCGACAAGAGAAAGACAAAGACAGGAACAGAGAAAGAAAGTAAGAAAGCAAGCCACCAGGTTCAGGACTCGAACCACCATCAACCATGTGGGAATCCAACACCTAAAACACCATGCCACCTGCCAGCACCAAGAGAGGTTTTTGCTATAGGGGACATGCACTCACCAGAGAGACAGAGAGACAGAAAGAGAGAAATCACCCCCCCAGAGGGGATGGCCACGCCGCAATCCCTTCTCCTCCATTCTCCCCTCGGGTCCTTGGGCACGCACGCACACTCACCTAGTGTGAGTTTTAAGCTGTCAGGCCTGGGACTTAAACCATGGTCAACTACATGGGAGTCCAGCAATATAACCATTATACCATCTGTTGGTCTTAACACCCTTTCTTTTTCTTTCTTTTATTTTTTTAGTTTTATTATTTTATTTATTCATTCACTTTGTTTTAGTTTGACCAGAGAGAGACAGAGGGGGAGAGTGAGAGAAAGAGAGGAACTGAGAAAGCAAGCCACCAGATTCAGGACTTGAAACCCGGTCCGCCATGAGAGAGTCTAGCGCCCTTAAACACCCCGCCACCTGCTGGTCCCCTTTTTTTTTTTTTTTTTTTAAGAGAGACTTTTGGGGGACCAGCAGGTGACATGGTAGTTAAGTTGCTGGACACTCCCACATGGCTGACCACGGTTCAAGTCCCCGAGCTGGTGCCTTGCTTTCTCAGTTTCTCTCTCTCTCTGTCTTTCTCTTGTCAAATTAAAATAGATGAATGAATCATTTTTTAAAATTAAAGAAATCATTATTATTATTGTTTTTTAAAGACAGACTTTTGCTATAGGGCACATGCATTTACCAGAGAGAAAAAATGAGAAATCACCCCCAGGGGGGATGGCCACGCAGCAATCCCTTCTCCTCCATTCTCCTCTTGGGATCTTGGGCATGTGGGAGTCCGGCCCCTTAACTTTGCGACCTACTGGTCCTAGCTCCCCTTTCGTAAATTGCTGGCGTGCACAGGTGCTCAGCACAGAGACCAAGAGACTGAAAGAGAGGGAGAAAAGCCCCTGGCATGAGGTGTGGACAGACTATAACCGCTTCTCTTCCATTTTTCTCTCATGTTAGGATTTGTGGCACACACTCCCACACAGTCAGCATAGTTTCTTTTCCTTTTCTTTATTGTAAATTAATATTTATTTGTTTGTACAAGTTTCTGCTATAGAACATGTGAGCTTGCCAGAAAAACAGAGAGACAGAAAGTTAGAAATCACCCCCAGGGGGAATGGCCACACTGCAGTCCCTTCTCCTCCATTCTCCTCTTGGGATCTTGGGCACGCACACACACGCACTCAGAGTGAGTTCAAGCCACCGGGTCCGGGACGCGAACCATGGTCGACTACGTGGGAGTCCAGCGATATAGCCATTACGCTAATTGCTGGTCTCTGTTTTTATTTATTATTATTATTCATTTGTTTATTTATTTTATTTTAATTTTTTTCTGAGGGGTTTTGCTACAGGGCATGTGCACTCACCAGAAAGAGAGAGATAGAGAGAGACAGAAAGTGAGAAATCACCCCCCAGGGGGGATGGCCACGCCACAATCCCTTTTCCTCCATTCTCCTCTAACAATCTTGGGCACGCATGCACATGCGCCCAGTGTGAGTTTAAGCCACTGGATCTGGGACTCAAACCACGGTTGACTGTATGGGAGTTCAGGGACATAGCCATTACACCAACTGCTGGTCCCAAAATAGTACATTTTCTATTGTATCATATAACTGTTGATTTTATATAAGAAAGCATACTTAAATCATTATAAAATTATTCATATAAAAAAGACCAGAATGCCAGTACTTCCTGTCGAAAATTCTGCCAGGACGGAAATGTCTCTACCACCCCCAGTGACTTTAAATTGTAGCCAGCACAACCAACCAAACTCGTCTGTCTCTCATTTTATTTAGTTTTAATTGGTACATATTTAAGGTTTCGCGTACTTTTTTAAGGGTGATAAAAAAGAATATATATATATATATATATATATATACACACACGTATATTTTTAACATGAAATTTGCCATTTATCCTTTTCTTTTTTTTCTTTTTTTTTTTTTTTTGGTCATAGTGAGTGCGCGCTCACTGGAAAAGGAGACACGTGAGAAATCACTCCTCTCCCGGGGGGATGGCCATGCCCCAATCCCTTCTCCTCTGTTCTCCTGGTAGGATCTTGGGCACGCACACACACACACATGTCCAGTAGGTCTTTTGCTGTTTTCTTTCTTTTTGTTATTTATTTATTTATTTTGCAAGAGGTTTTCGCTATAGGACGCGTGCGCTCGCCAGATGGAGAGAGACAGAGAGACAGAAAGCGAGAAATCACCCCCCAGGGGGGATGGCTATGCCGCAATCCCTTCTCCTCCATTCTCCTCTCGGGATCTTGGGCACGCACGCACACGCGCCCGGTGTGAGTTTAAGCCACCGAGTCCAGGACTCGAACCACGGTTGACTACGTGGGAGTCCAACGACACAGCCATTACGCCAACTGCTGGTTCCTGTTATTTTTTTTTTTTTTAGATTTTTGTCATAAGGGTGCACTTGTTCACCAGAGAGAGACCGGCAGAAACAGAAAGAGGAAAAGTGAGAAATCAGCCCCCAGGGGAGATAGGCACGCCATAATCCCTTCTCGTCCATTTTCCTCTTGGGATTTTGGGCACATGCACCCACACATGTGCGCCTGGTATGAGTTTTAAGCCACCGTGTCTGCGACTTGAAACGCAGTCAAGAAATCACTCCCCAGGGGAGATGGCCACACCGCAATCCCTTCTCCTCCATTCTCCTCTCAGGATCTTGGACACGCACGCACACGTGCCCGGTGTGAGTTTAAGCCACCGGGTCCAGGATGCAAACCGCTGTCGACTACGTGGGAGTCCAGTGACATAGCCATTACGCCAACTGCTGGTCCCAAGTCCAGGTCTTGAACCATGCATTTGGCCATGTGGGATCCAGCTAGTTTAAACAGCATGCCACCTGCTAGTCCTTGGATGAACCTATTTTGGTCCCCAAAACCAAAAGATGGAAGGGATGCCACCATGGAGGTGGCTGCTGGGTGGACAGAGATGCAAAGCCTTCTGGGTAATGTCTTGATTCCTCCTGTCCTCAGCCTACATGATTGTACCAGCCAGCCCTGTCTCCTTGGCCTCCAAACATCCCCAGCCTACGTGCATCTCTGGGTCTCCATGGCAACCACGAGGTCCAAGCTGCTACCGTGTCTCTTACAGCAGCTACGCCCACCTCCTCCTGGGGCTCCGTCTCTGTCCTGGCCTCCCTCCAGTTCCATCTGGCATCCAGCAAATGTGATCTAGGACAGCTCCTCCTTCTGGAATTTACTGTCACTCCGAGGAGTCCACACACTGAAATATCCCAGCAAGGCCTTGCAATCCTACCCCACTGACAGCTCGGATCTCTTTCTTAATTTTTTGAGTACATAATAATAATAATTATTTTTTTAGAGGTTCTTTTTTGCTATAGGGCGCATGTGCTCGCCAGAGAGACAGAGAGAGACAGAGAGACAGAAAATGAGAAATCAACTCCCCCCAGGGGGGATGGCCACGCCACAATCCCTTCTCCTCCGTTCTCCTCTCAGGCTCTTGGGCACGCACGCACATGTGCCCGGCGTGAGTTTAAGCCACTAGGTCCGGGACTTGAACCGTGGTCGACTACATGGGAGTCCAGCGACATAGCCATTACGCAAACTGCTGGTCCCAGTACGTAATTATTTTATTGTTACTATTCTTTTTTATTTTATTTTATTTTTTTTAATTTATTTTATTATTTTATTGTTTTAGAGAGAGCTCTTTGCTATAAGATGAGTAAGCTCGCTGGAGAGAGAGACAGAGAGTCAGAAAGCGAGAAATCACCCCCCAGGGAGGATGTCCACACTGCAATCCCTTCTCTTCCATTCTCCTCTCGGGATCTTGGGCACACACACACACGTGAGTTTATTTATTTATTTATTTATTTATTTATTTATTTATTTATTTAATGACAGGACGTTCTTTTTAAAAAAATAATTATTTTATGTACTATTATTATTTTCCAATTTAATCAGCAAGAGACAGAGAGAGAGAGAGAGAGAGAGAGAGAAGTGAGAAAGCAAGCCACCAGGTCCGGGACTTGAACTCTGGCTGTCCATGTGGGAGTCTAGTGCCTTGAACCATCACGCCACCTGCTGGACCGCACCCCAGTGTGTGTAGTTTTTGTTTTTGTTTTTGTTTTTAGCTATGGGGCGCATGCGCTCTCCAGAAAGACAGAGAGACAGAAAGAGAGAAGATACCCCCCAGGGGGGATGGCTATGTCGCAATCTTTTCTCCTTCATTCTCCTCTCGGGATCTTGGGCACGCATGCACGCGCGCCCCGTGTGAGAGTTTAAGCCGCCGGGTCTGGAATAGGAACCATGGTCAACTACATGCGAGTTCAGCGGCATAGCCATTGCGCCAACTGCTACTCCCCCCGTGTGAGTTTTATGCTTCTGGATTCGGGACTCGACCTGCTGCCAACGACATGGGAGTCCAGCACCATAACCATTATTACATTCGCTGGTTCCTATTCTTTTTTTTATTTTATATTTTTAGAGAGAGATTTTTGCTCTAAGGCGCATGTGCTCGCTAGAGAGACAGAGAGACAGAAAGCGAGAAATCACCTCCCCAGGGGGGATGGCCACGCCGCAATCCCTTCTCCTCCATTCTCCTCTCGGGATCTTGGGCATGCATGAGTTTTAAACCACCAGGTTCAGGACTCGAACCGTGGTCGGCTTGATGGGAATCCAGCGACGTAACCATCATGCCATCTGCTTGTCCTGCCTGTGTACTTTTCAAGGAAAGGGCCGGTCTGCCATCACCTCAGTTCCCCAAAGCAC